CTGTTGCCCCATGTAGGTAAATGGCTACATCCCTTCTTATTTATCTTTTCAATATCTCTTGGTGCAAACACAGATAATATATTTTAAGAAAACACACATATATTTTTAACAAATATATATAAGCTCAAATATATATTTTGTTCTCCCTTTTTTTTTACACAAAGAATGTTTTCTTCATTTAACAGCATCTTGAAGATCTCTCCCTATCTGTACATAAAGCTCTCCCTCATTTTTTTCCCCAGTGAATTTTGTAATCAGATTTGAAGGTGCTTATCTGTGGAAAGATTATTGACATGAGGCTATAATAAAAGCATACATAAAATCTATAGCAAACTTTTTCAAATAATACTTTAAAAATAAAGTAAGTAAAAATAATAAAATTGAAAATAATAGGAGAAAAAATGTTTCACTGGTACCTTTGTAAGTATTCCAACTATTGACCATGAGGTTGCTTGCAGCTGACTAGTGGTGAAGTGACTTGGTGTCTGCAGTTTAAACAGGAAGGCCTGTGTGTATTAGTAGCCTGGGATCATGTTTCCTTTTCCTCTTCCTCTTTACAGCCAGGATTTTAATTATTTGGAATTTTTATTTCTCTGGATGAACTAGGTCTGTCTTTTTATAAGACTTTAGGGAGTATATGGACTTGAATAAGAAAGTGTTCTCAGAAGTATGATTTAAATGAACATTTCATGTTTATTTTCAGTTTCCCAGGAAGAAAACCTGCCTAAAGACAATACCTAGTAATTCTGTAGAACATTCCAATTCTCATCCTTATATATCTTCCCCACCTTCTGAATTAAAATAGAGTCCTTTCTTATGAATAAGATAAACTGGATGTCTTTTGATACAGCACTGTTATTATTGATATTAAATGAAATAACATGATTCTAGTTTAGTAATTCTCGGTATTTCCATTAAACTTCACAACTACAGTATCAGCATTTTCTTGGATTTTACTTTCATTATTCTTGTATCTCTTGAATTCATTTTCTAGAATTCTTAAGCAGCACCATCCTACCCCCCCTCCAAAAAAAAAAAAAAAAAAAAAAAAAAAAA